ATCACCGTTATCAATCAAGAATAAAGTGATCTGTGTTCTTTGGCACTTTCAACATGCCAAAGTCTCACCTTATGGACAGGCATCGATGTCAGCACACCAAAATGTGAAAGCTACCACCCTGGACTGAGGGTTGATGCAGCAGCAGCACATAGTTTCCATTTCTACCCTGCAACAAACTGTGAATCACTGTCTCGTGCTGGTTTTAGTGTTAACTGACCCTTCAAAGATGGTGTCTTCCAATTCTTTCCTGTCAGAGCTTCTCACAGGTTGTGTCAGCTACAGCCATTGCAGATGGACCAAGGCAGATCACACATGGGCTGCTGGAAGCATCAGTCACAGAAAGCGTCTCCCTCATATTTTAGTGCTTTCCCAGATGAGAAGAGGACAAGTCATCCCCATGTAAGCATCCTATCCTTTGCTCTGTTCTGGAGCATGAGGATGCTTATGCTCTGCAGCTGATAGTAGAGAGAGAACAAAGCAGCCCTGTGAGGTCTGAGGAGGGCAATCTCTCCTTTCTCAAGCTCCCTTAGCCAAGAGGGACCAGAGGCCACATGCAAGTCCTCACTCCTCCCATTCTGTGTTCTGGGAAGAAAGTATTTTCCAATCTTTCTTTCCATCCTCATTCAAAGAGAATCACGGCTTCAAAAGGAAGCCACGCATTCTGAATTCAGTCCACTGACTGCTGCAATCGAGTTCACAGGTGTAAGTCCCGTTCTGCAGGATCTCTGAAAAAAGAGCTCATATCTTTGAGGTAACATCCACAGAGAGAAGATTTAAATTGTTCTGCTTGTCAGAAGAGGAAGTGGAGGACCTAGCTCACACAAGAAAGTAGACAGCATGGAAAGGATCACGGCTGTACCTCCAGCAGGTCAGAAACAGCAGGAAGATGGACCATTCAGTCCGAATAATCAAGCCCATCTCCAGTTTTGGCTCCAATAGCAGTAGGGTCTAGGTGACTCAGGTTCACTTTCCTTCCCTGGACGATGAAGAAGTGCTAACTGTGGTATCACAAGGGCCTGGTGCTGCCAGGCTTCAATGAGAAAATCAGGAAACCTACCCAAGAACTATTAAGCCTGGCAGATGCACATTTGCCATAAACCAGGGAAGTGGCATTGCTTTCTGTCTGCCCAGTCATGGGGCTCTTGAATTCTTCTGGGGCAATTTAAACAGCTCTTGTGTTCTTCAAATCCTTACTGTAGCAACAACAGCAGATGCAGATCACTGTTTTCACTGCACCCTGTTTCTGTGCCAACTGTAATTACATCCACAAACACCTTCTATGTATGCAATTACACCCACAAACACCCTGCAACTCAAGACAGACCAAATTTGATAAGAAAAGACATCAAAATATGCTGCACTTAGTTTACTAAAGTATGAGGGCAAATAAGATAAAAGAGAGTGGTAACTTTGTTGATTTTCTCCCCCTCAAAATGGAAGTTGTATCTTTAAGAAACGAAACCAAGCACCTCCATAGTCCAGTTACACCTTACAGGTGACACTCAGCCACTGGAATTCACATAGCTACTGCTAAAAGTTAATTTGAAGATTTTTTTTAGTTTATTGAAGAGGACTGTTAGATATATTGAGAGCAAAATAGTTTTATTATTATTTTATTATTACACTGATCTGTGAGCAACTGCATCCTCAAGTCTATAACATGAGCTTAACACCCAAGATCAAAGCTGCCCTTTTCTGAACATGATACATTAGTTTTAAGGTCTTGAAGTCAATGTGACTATATCCCCACCTATCTCATCCAGTATAAGTTCCTGAAGAGTTTAGAACATGTCTAAATCTTTTCCACCATAAGGATTTTTTCCTGTGATAGATTTTATTAAATACAAATGGACGTGTTATGATAGATAAGAACAGAAAAAACAGCAGGAACAAGGCTCTCCATACACAAGGTTTAAAAAAATTAACCCATGATTTGAAACAAACACACAATACGTATAACAAGCGACAAACTTCACCCTCCCCCCCAAAAAAACAAATTAAACAGAAAAAGGAAAGCATCAAGAGCAAAAACCTTTTTTATCTGGGAATCCTGAAGGCTAGAACACAGCAATTTCCATGAATACACGGACAAGTTTTGAGAGAAGACATCAGTTTCTGCTAAGACTGAAGGTCCTACCTAAATTAAGCTCTGCATGGGACTTCATGAGAAGACCAAACAGCACAAGGATATAGGGAACAATCCTCACCTAGCAGAAGGAATTCAAGACTTCAAAAGGCACCAGAGCAGGGAACTTACTCATCACAGAGTAACAGATTAGAGAGTTATGCTAAGAGCAACAGTATCATGGATCCTCACAAAAGAAACTGAGGCAGCCATCTTGTATCTAATAAAACCACAGGCAAAGAGAGAACAGCATATATATATATATATTGTTCAATATTCTTCAAAAAATACAAAGCAAGCCAGAATGGAACAGAGAATTAATCCTGCTCATGTCAAAAACATTATGGACGCAGAATAGCTAAAATGAATTTTAGCTTCCTTTTCTCTTCCTTTGTTACTCTGAGGTACACAGATAACTTGTTTCTCAGTCACTTTCTCAGGAGAGATATGTTAAACTCTTCACAATGGTTAAGACTGCTTTGCCAAATAGTTCTGATATAAAATGAATAGAAACCAAGAACATCTACAATCTTTCTTGGCTAAAAAAAGCACTAGTTACATTGTGGAATTATTTTATCTTAACTCCCCAAACCAGAAAAAGGGCATTTTTCTTAACAACTCAGAAGAAATGAGGTGTGACAAGTGCACATAATATCACATTTACTAAAATTACAGAATTATTCTATATCATTGTCTATAACACACACTGAAAATTCTTTTCAAATGTAGCAAAACATTTATCAAGTAAAAATAGTTTTAAATCTCTTTGTTACCCAAACTTTTTCCAATCTAAAGATTTGAAATCGATAATTGAGTCAATTTTTCATTCTCCTGTTCGCATTAAACTGGATATAAGCACTGGAAAAAGAGACTTAATATGTTCATGTAACATAGGTACTGACAAATATCTGCACTTCCTCTTACACCTCCCTGCACTGCTACCACTCCTCTATGCATGTCTTCTGGAAAAAGACGGTCAGAAGCAACAAAGAGGTGGATGCACTATTTTCACGCAACCTGCTGAAGCCTATACATGAAACAACTCACTGTAGGGAAAAATGGAAAGACAGAAAGGAAGACAAAAAGACAGAAAGGAATGCTTGGTTGATTTTTCTTCTTGTTTTAAAATTATAATCAGGAAGTGTTAAAAGATTACATTAATGAGGTTTTTCTTCATACTCTCTCATCCTTCCAACCTCAGTTGTGTCATGCATATCACAGTCCAAACTGGCTGCGTTTTCCACTTGAAATGGCAACGCAGAATGCCAACTTAATTAAAGGTCTGTTAGGCTATGCTAGTTGCTTGAAAAGACAGTCTTTGCTCTCTTTTTTTTCCTATTTCTTTAATACGTTGAAAAGTTTTGGGCTTTTAGTTTTTTCTCCCCAATTTGGAAGGCAGAAATGTGCAGAAGAGGACAGAGAACAGGGTATTCGTTACTGGGAGAAGGTTTTAAGCAACAACTGAGATAGGAAGGGCTACAGAAACAGCTGTTATTAATTCCTGGTGTCTTGCGTCTTAAGAAAAGGTAAAACATTTGTGCCATACAGAGTTAACAGAGAAGTTTCACATTTTATGAACTCAAATTACAAAGACTGTGTAAGACTATGTGTGTGCAGATACTCACTTATGACTAGAATTGTTGAAAAACTGAAAACAAATCAAGCTATTTCACAATAGTTCTTTTTCTTAAAAAAATATTAAAATTTAGTTCTTTTCATTAGGAAGGACTGCAAAGGTAGCAGATCTATCTAATCAAGACTAAAGCTAAAAGCTGTCAAACTCTACAATTTACACCATCTCCCAGTGTTAAGAAATTATCTGAATGCTTTAATGTATTTAGAATTTGTTTAAACAAATCTCAGCACAGATAATATATAGAATTATGCAAATTCTTAGACATGTGAAAGGAAATCAATTGAAAAATATTCTCAAGTAAACTTCAGATGCTGGATTAGTTGTGTGTGTGGAAGGTGAGCAATTAATTATTTGCTTGTGTGCCTTGTCCTGAGTAAAGCTCCATGCTAGGTGATTTGGATAAATGTTCTCGAGAACATTACACAGCATCTTCTGCCAGCAAGAAGGCCAGAAAAGTTTTGGCATCATTAAAATGAACACATAACTGAGATACTTCATGGATAAATACTTGCAAAGACCATCTGCACCACAGACAAACAGCTGTAGTCTGGGGACACAGGTTTCTGTGTTCCCAAGACACCTCCATTAAGAGTGATGGTAATTCTATGTACTCAATGGTAGAAATATAAACACACATTGCAGTGAATAATGGTTTTAAGAAGTCTGGTGAGATAGACTGAAAATTTTGACCTATCAAAACTGCAGTCATATAGCTTCTGTTTATACTGTCCATCCAATGGAATGGATTAAACTAATAAACACAGTAGGTTTCTTGAGACAATTACTCTGTCCCTGTTTTCCCCACTACAGCATTGCTACCTACCTTCCGGTACATTTTGCTATCACCACAATTAAGGAGTAAAGAAAGGATCTCTCTCAAAGAACAACCTTGCTTCATCCACAGAGCTAAAAGCGGTGTTCCTGGAACACTTCCTTCTGGTCACTCTTTATCCACACAAAGGAAAGAAACCAAAAAGCCACCCTTCACCATACACAAGAGCAAGCAATTTAATGATCTGAGGAAAGAAAAAAAGCAGCAACTTTCACAGACTACACTCACTGTACGCGGTAAATCGTCATTTTCAAGGCACCAGATGCGCAATTAAGGAGACAGAGTAAAGGAAACAAAAAAACATTTGGTTATTTCTTGCCAGGTGAAATATTAAAAAAGTTGTGCAATATGAAAAAGGTATCTCTTAAGTAGAATACTTAATCCAAGGTGTAGCATCTTTCACCTACCTTGTAGAAGGGCTCCATTTCTCTTGAAGAAGGTGCTTCCTGGCCAAATGGGTGGACCTGATGTGCTAAAGGGAATAAGAAATAAATGTAAAGAAAATCACATTTGCATTAAACAATTATAAGTTTCTATTTGTATGTATTCTATTTTCTTTTTAAAGGTAATGTAACATCATGGCACTTTTGCCTTCAAGCAAGGGTCTAAAATCTCACGCTAAAAATAGATTAGTTTGATTCAAGATTCACATTCTCTTCACAAGTAAAAATCTCTTCAGCAAAGGACACACCCACACTCTCTTGGAGGAGGAAAGAAAAAAGCAATTTGGAATAAATAATAAAAACCCCCAAATCAACATCAAAAATATTTACTGAATTCTCGGTATAGCAACATACATGCCCTTTCACAAAGCCATATGCTAAAACCCCAAATGCTTTATGGCTTTCACTCAGCTGTGACAACACACTGCACCAGTGCATCTGCCTGGGACAGCCCTGCCCAGACACCGGGCAGTTCCCGTGATCCATCAGAGCCCTTTGCCCACGGAACACCCGTTCACGCAGAAGTCCCCTCACGGTGCCAGCAAACACACGGCTCAACACGCTCTCTGCCAGCACCAGCACTAGTGTGGACAGAGCTTGGCCTTCGCCACGTGCTCGGTGACCACGGCGGCTCCTGCGAGCCCCCGGCAGGGCAGTGGCCACACGGGGCCCTCAGGCGCCCGCCTGAGCTGGAGCCTTGCTCTGAACTCAGACACCTCCAGGTCCCTCTTCTGCTTTGCCTCCTGCTCATGCAGAGGTTGCCCGAAGGCAATGGACTCCAAGAGGCCTCAACTGTGACAAGTGTAGCTGAAGATAACAGCATTTCAAGCGTGGCACAGGGAAGAGGAGGGAACATTGGCATGATCATCTAAACCTTGTTTCCTTTGTTGCCTTGGAGCAGCCCCACGGTGCTGTGGGCAATAGACTGCGGAGAATCCACTCCAACAACTTGTGGTGCCAACGAGTTGGAGAAAGGAAGGAAGCTGTGAGGAAGCCTCCCTTCAGCAGCCACCCACAGCCACATCTCTCAGTGGGAATGTCCCAGACATAGAAGGTAACCTTGCCCTTTTCCTAACAGTGCCACTGACCGCTGTCGCTATGGCACAGCTCACTCTCCCCACGGCCATCTGCAGGGAGTGCTGCCCAGGGCAGGAGTGCCACCACTGCTCCCGCTGTGTGCGCAGTCCTCAGCGAGAGAGGCACTGCCTGCAAGAGATGTTCATGGATGGGATCTGAGGGCTCAGGCACAGCAAGTATTTCAAAGCCATTGTCCCTGTGGTAAATAACTAAAAACATATAGAAGACTTGTTGCAGCCTTGTCAAAGCAGGTAGAAGAGACAGGCTGCCAGGGAGCCTTTCCTGTAGTCAGGAAGCAGGTTTCAAAATCTTCTACAGCTTGACAACAATCATAGGTGTTCTAATATACTAAGCTTTTATTAAAATTATCAACATGAAACTATGATATCAATGTATAAATAGTTGCTCTACACTCAAATTCAAGCACAATTTAAAAGTTCCTTTTAGTAAAAAATATCCTTTAGTAAGACTGCTGTAAACCACTCTGCCTTTTTAAGGTAATCCACTTTCCTCTTTGGATGCAAAGCGTGAACCAAGCCCAACACTCCATTCCTATTCAAAGTTACCTTTGTCTCCTCTTGAGCTGACCAATGCTACAGAAAATGTAATGAAATGCAAAACAGGTGTTGTCTATTACATTCACAACAATTAGCGAGGTTCTGATAAAATACCATATGTAAAAAGCATACTGCTTTCACAACTATTCTGCAGATACTCTTGTGCTAATATATAAAAAATTCACTGTGTTAAAATAAGGACTGTAAATAGATCCAAAGCAATTACATGAGCAATAAAAGCCTTCAGTACTCCTGAACAAAGAAGGGAGTTAAGAGAGAGAGGTAGAGCGAGCAAAATGACCAAAAAGAAGTTAAGTAAGTCTACAATTTAAGTGCTGGAGTGTGTGGGGCACACACTCTGAATACACACATCCACTTTATAGGGTTTAATGCAACCAATTGTTTGCATTCCTTATAGTAAGTGCCAGCTCTTCAGTGTAGTTCCTCAACTCACATGAAGGTCAAGAGCTGTTGAGGGCATTCACACTCCTGTAAGATTTACAGTCTTATAGCGCATCAGAGTCCTGGATAATCTCTGGACTAGACATTAAGCTGCATCAAGCTACAAATGGAAAGCAATAGCATAGTCTTGATACTGTACAGATTTGCCAATCAGAAATCACAGTATGGCAACTACAGGCCTTTCAAAAGCCCAAGAAAAAAAAAAAAAAAGATGAAATTATGAAATGGAGCCATAGAAAAAATTCACTCCCAGGCTGTCGTATGCCTGTAAGTGGGTGGAAGGGGGCCAAAGAATGGAGAGGGAAAAGCGTATATATTTGAATAGACAAAATGTCTCCACTAGAGAAACAAAGCCATAGTGATTTATCTTATTTTCCAACTTGAAAAAAGGCCCAAGGCTCTCATAAAATCTCCATCTGATTCAGCACAAACCCACATGAACTAAGAAAATTAACTATGTCTTCCCAGGGAAGGAAGCTGAAGAATTCAAGCATGTAAATAATGTACGGCAGCGACTGTCAAGCCTTTCAAAACAACCAACTTCTGTGTTTGCAGGGCCTCACTGAAGTTTAGCTATGCCTGATCTGTGTTGGATAAATTCTCTATCTGTTCCCAAACTTTGGCATGTGAAGTCTCAGAGGGTATTAATTATTAAAACATATTTCAAGTTGATAAATGACAGAGTTGAACTATCACTCACTTTAAAGTGTTCAAAACCTGCTTCCTCCCTGTTCCAGATTAAGAAACCATTTGAAGAAGTTCATTCTTCTAAAGACCATCAATAACAAAAAAAATTTGTTCTATCCCAGGAATTTTTTTCAAACAAATGGTTTCTTCAGTGTAGCCTGTAAGCTGCAAGAGAAGAGTGGTCGGTTGTCCTACAGAAGTAACAGCATATTCTGCATTTAGACAAAATAAGAATGCAAAATGTGGGTTTACAATCTTATTTCATAATCAACGCATGCTGTAAGATTAGTATTTTTGCAATTAGCATTATTGTTGGCCAAGTTTTTCCCCAGATTTACCAACTAAACACACTAATATTTTATTCTGACTAAATCCCTACCTGGCTACTAGAAGAAGTGAAGCAACTAGTTGGAATTCTTATCTATGTGAAGAAACTTGAGGCCTAATACATTTTTATTATGCACATGTTTGGACTGCCTTAACTCCCAGAAGCATATGAGCACAGGGCACTTGCAGAGGTGAGTGGAAGATGGACCCAGATCAACCATAAAGAGCTGAGATTTCAAAAAAAACATCTTGAAAGAACAATTAGTTAAGTTTATGAATTAGACATGTGAAACACCAACAGTTACTTGTCAAGAAACACTGGTCTGATTTGCAGAAAATACTACTGTTTCAAGCATAGCCTCAGCCAAACGGATATCCAGGCTGCAACAGTACTTGTAGCAAATGCGTAAAACAGGATCTGGGGGTACAAGTTCACATTCATCCAGTGCCCGATCCACCTCTCTCTAAAGCACAGTCACTGGCACTGCAGCACCTGCGCAGCACCGCAGGGAGCAAATGAAGTATTCACAGCCGGCTGAAAACCTGTAGCTCAGAGAACTCATGAAGGACCATGTTTAACCCCTGAGAAATATGGAGCCATCTCTGATCAAAGCCCACCTTTCCCATGGATGGCAAGCGATTTTAAATGGTGAGTGGGACCTGACTTCCGCCCAAAGCAAGCAATTAACTGTTTTTCCTCTGATGACACAAACAGTAGAAAACTTCATTGTGCCACAGGGCCCTGGGCATGGGAAACTTATTGATCAAGGGCTAGGAGTGATTTTTCTGAGCAAAGGTTTTTCCATAGGAAAATGTTGCTTTACTGAAATCTAAAACATTCTAGGGGAATGTGTTGATTTGGACGTTGTTTGTGCTGGAAACCAGGCAGACATGAAGGCTGGCTGGCCGGCCAGCCAGTGAGGGTTCATGGCAGCCAGCCAGCCCAACCAGGAGCTCTCAGGGCATACGGAGAAGCAACAATGTGTGTGAGCCCCCCTGATTAATTATTTCTACCAAAATGAATGCCACACATTTATAAAAATCTTTAAAAGGTGCATAGGCTTCAGGAGACTTAAAAAAGGAAACATAAATCCTTTGTCTTCTGGAATTCACATTAGAGCAAGGAGACTGCAGTCTTAAAGCTAAGCGCTAAAAAAAGCCAGGGTATGAATTCTCTCTCACAGTTGCAGTATTTCACAACTATGCCAAAAGCTCTCACAGGCCTCTTTGTCAGAGAGGCCTGATTAATAGATTTAAAAAACCCAAACAACTAAAAATTCAAACCAAATTCAATTGTGTGGGACTACACACCACAATTAAGGGATTATGAAAACACAGAAGCAAGGCAATAAATACAGCCCAGTGACTGTTACCAAATATGTCCAGAGAGTGACAGCAAAGCAGGATGATGCAGAAAGAGGGGAAAGCAAACAAACAAACCAACACCACCCCCAGAATGCACATTTCGAAGGCATCTGGAGCTGAGAGCTATTAGCCCAAGGAAGGATGGCTCAGTGGAGAGGCAGGGAAGATGCTCCATACACACACACCTCAGCCCACCATGGCCAAGAGGAGGTAGGATCAGTTGCTTGGGCACAGCTGGTGCCAAATCACATCCTGGCTCCCAGAAAAGCTTAGAGCACAGGGCAAGACAGCTCAGTAAAGGGTGGAAAGATGAACAGTGTCAGCTGTAAGCTAACAAACTGTGGCACACAAAATACCCAACACATATCCTGCATTAAGCAAACAGCTGCTAGACCACAAACAGGCAGCAGTGACACACAGGATCTCCTCTCCAGCCCTTACCCGTGGGAAAAATGATGGGCACAAGAAAAAATGATTGACTGAAGTTTCTCTACATTCAGCTTAGCCCATGAATTTTGCAAAATGATGTGACAAGTACAGTAAGTTCCCAGTAA